CTCTGCAATTGGTCCCATTTGTCCCTGTACTCATAATGAGAGGAGGGGTTTGGTGAATAAAACAGGGGCTTTATTTGTGGTAATTAAGAGAGAGAATTTGAGCGGTGATTTTAGATTTAAATCACCTGCTATTTGTTTGAGAGATCTCAAGTTTGAGATCTTCTCTCTTATTTGTAATTTCTTGTTATTAATAAGAAATTAATTGTGCCGCTCTCGTGAACGTAGGCAAGATTGTCAAACCATGTAAAAATCGGTTGCTTGTGTTTGTGTCGTTATTATGATTGTGTTTGGCCTTCTCTCTCGGTGTATGTGTTTGTTCTCGGGCATAAATCCGAACATAGTCCTACTAAAATCCATTGGATTTATGTATAGATGCAGTTGAATTATTGTACGTAATTATTCATAGAATTTTAAGGAGAGATAAAAGTAAGATTGAAGGATAAGTAGTTTTCCATTGCTCGTCAGACTAAATCTTTGGACAATTAAGTACCATACATCAAGGGTAACTGTCTGTACAGGAAAACATGAATAATTTTGATATGGGTCAGTTGGATTTCTGTTGGAACTAATGAGGGAGGGATGGGAGGGAGGAGGGAGGGGGGAGAGAGGGGGGGGGGGAGGCGGGGGGGGGGGGGGGGGGGGGGTGCGGGGGGGGGGGGGGGGGGGGGGGGGGCAGAGAGAGAGAGAGAGAGTTGACGGAATAATTTAGAAAGAAGTGATAAGTTAGTTTAGAGTTGATTGTTGAGGAATTTTAGTCTCCTTGCCTATTCCGATCTCCGCAATTTGGAAGCCAACCCATAATCAACAAGATATAAAACAACCATAATCAAGAAGAAAGAACACCGAGATTTACATGGTTCTGTCGACCAACTTCGACCTATGTACACGGGAAACAATATGAGAAATCCACTATGTATCAGGAAGAATTACAAGAGGAACCACTCAACTCTCATATCTCAATCTTTCAACCCTACATACATAATCAACTCTCATATTCTCTCTAAAACCTACTCCTTACAATCTTTTGAACAAACAAAGACTGTAAAACCCTCTCCTAATATTATAATCTTTTGCACGGACAAAGACTACGAAATTCTCACCTCTTGCCTAATATTTTTGAATCAGGGTACGCCCTCTACTAATCCTAGATTACAAGAATATTGGCTCTCCTTCTTCTCCTTAATTTTTCCTCCAACAATAGAAGAATATAGGGAAAAATGTGTTAAGGCCCCCCAAAAAATAAAGTGAATGTGACCTAGCCCCCAGCATTATTTTTTGTGTGTCAAAGCCTCTAATACATGAAATAATTATTTTCAGCCCCTATTTATATTTCCAAGACAGCTCAGAGAGAAATATTTTTACAAAACCCAAAACTGCCCTCTCTCTTCTCTCTCTTCTCTCCTCGACTCCGAGACTGTCGAGTCTGTGATAAGGGCGATCGGAGAGTGTGCCGAGGGGGCGATCACTGTGTGGAGACGGAGCGACGGTGAGGCGAGGCCCAAGGCCGAGATGTTCGTCGGGATCTTGAATTCGTTGGATGTGATGGCGTTCATTGCTAAGGCTGGTGGGGATCAGGATAAGGTCATAAGGACGCCGATGTCTGAGGTTGTGAAGCCAAATCAAGGCCTACTGAAGGAGGTCGATCCCGGGACTAGGTGAAAGTTTGAATCTTGTGATTTTGATCTTGGGTTTGATTTTGATCTTGATCTGACTGAGTGAAAGTTTGAATCTTGTGATCTAGGGGTTATCTCTTTGCCTGATCAATGTTTTGTGTATCTGGATTTCTATTTGCTAATTTTCACTAACCTTTCCTCTTATTTCGTTTAGACTTATAGATAATTATGTCTGATTTTGTTCAATTATGCATCAAAGTTCTTATATTTCTATGCATTTTGCGCAGACTGTAGCTGATTATGTGGGGTTCATCAACATGTCATAAATGCTTACGTATGAATGTTAATTCTGATTCTAGCTATAGCTCTATGCTTTATTTATTAATATTTAGTGAATGCTTATATTAGTAAATTGATCTTTATGTGTTTATGCACTCTGGCTGGGTTCTGATTTGTTGAAGAGGGGGTTGGCAGCAGCTGTTCAAGTATGATATATTGTCTGAACAAGCCTAATTATGGAAATATTTAAAGAAAGAGAGAGTGTTCGGATGAATATCTCCCTACAGGAAGTTGCTAGGAGTTGTATATTATTATACATTTAAAAGGAAAAGAAAAAAAAAACAAATAGTCGTAATAATATTCATAATTTTGATACCGTATTGGATCAACAAGGTTACTTATATCCATTATCAAATTTGTAGAAATTGTAAGCTACTTAAAATGTGCGATTGATACAATTATGAAGTGGTTAAAGCTATTAAGGCATGTAGCTAACTTGATAAGATTGTTCTCTTGGTTTAATTAGTTCTTTCTTTTAACTCTCAATTTGAACATCCTTTTTATGGCATGTCCGTTTCATGAGATTCTCGCTCACCAGTCACCAAATTTCTTGTTGTAAGATATTAAGATGTTAATACCTGTAAGCCATTGGTCCACTTTAACAATGCAGGTAGGATAGCCAATTGCAAAGGTCATGCACACAAAAATAGGATCTTTATGCAGTACTCACCCCGTCTTTTTGAGTAACTAGGTTGATTGCACGTGCAATGCACATGGTTTTTTTTTTAATTTATAATTTTATTTATATAGTTTTGTTATAAAATTATGTAATGCAAGTAATGGATTAAGAACTTAAATGTTATTTACATGAGAGTAAATTATGGCTACATAAAACATAGAATATCTAATTAAAACAACTGACAAAATATCTTTGCATCTGATTGCACTTTTAGTGTAAGTTTGCATTAATATATCATTTGATAATATCTTGCAAAGTTACTTGCAAAATAGAATATCTTTTAGTGTAAGTTTGCATTAATATATCATTTTATAATATCTTGCAAAGTTACTTGCAAAATAGAATATCTTATTGCTATTGCAATAGAATGTCAATCTCATATTTGAAATTACTATATATGAAGTAAATATGAAATTTTCTATGTGTTGTAATGAACATTTCCAGCAAGGGGAAAAACAGTGGAAAAAATTGTTCAATGCAAATTCTTGAAGCATTTTTTTTCACAATCATCCAACATATGCAAACAATTTTCTATAAGACAAATAAAATTTTCTCTCATTCTTATTCAGTTGCATTAGATGCAGGGTGCAATTTTCACATCAATACTATAGCAAAGCTGTTTCAGGGCGTGGAATCCTTGGTCATCGAGAGATGCTGCAGCCAATCGTTCAGATAATTCTGCCTCTGAGGCACTGTGAAATTTTGATATTTTGTTGTAGATAAAATAGCCTCCACATTCCCAGGTTGAGAGGTGGCTTCCAGCCGCTGGAAGATTAACCTACATCACAATCACGCCCCAACAGTTTACCATTTCTTGGTTAAAATTATCATAATATGGTCAATTAAGTAATGAACAGTCATTTGAAACCATGATGGAAGGCCGTGTTTTGGGGGGGTGTGCTTCATTTCCCAAAGTATTAAAATACCAAGTTAGTCATTCCAGTTCGTAAAAGATTAAAGGGGAAAATATCCTAAAAAGCGCTGTAGAATATCACATAGGGAGGAAGGAGTGACACGGACTCATCAGTGCAGGTAGTAGACAATAGTGATATCATTGATTGGTTGATCTTGAAACACAAGAGATACTTTTTTTCTCCAAGCCATAAATGGAACCTTAGAACCAAGGTTTGAAATCTAAGTATTGGTCATGCTCTCTGTTTGCCTTTGTGGGTTAGGATTCGGCTTAGAACCAAGGTTTGAAATCTAAGTATTGGTCATGCTCTCTGTTTGCCTTTGTGGGTTAGGATTCGGGACATTTGGTGGTTTTGGTAGTTTCAGATTGGAAATGTTCATACATGAAACCAGTTGATTAATCTCAAGCTTTCTGGTTATTTATTTTCCTTAGCACTATTGTATCAACTTTTGATACTTCAAAGTTCAAATACACTGTCTTGTCTTAGTTCTATTAGCCAATATTGACATGTATTACTTGTTATTGGCCAATGTAGCTGGTATCTGCTTGATTTGGTTGGCGTTGCTTAAATTAAAAATCCGATATGATATGACAAATACAGATCATTATTGGCTGATATTTCGACCTTCTTTAGAATACACATACCTTTAAGTTTGTTTCTAAATTTGAATTCTTACTTAAAGTATAATGATTTTTAGCTATTATAGTGTCACATATTTTACCTTCGGTCTTGCTTCAGAGTACACATGATTTCTCAGTGCTCATAGTGTCACATGCCTTTAAGTTTGTTTCGAAATTTGAATTCTTACTGAAAGTATGTAGATTGTTAGCTATTATAGTATGAAAGTCTAATACTCTGGTATGTAAGTCAACAAAACATTTTTATTGAGCAATTAATTTTGTCATTTTGTTATGCATCTCAGTTTCTCCTCTTCTGTGCAGCTTTTAGATGAAAACAAATGGTACAACTTTGACGATGGCCATGTTTCTCCAATAAATGAAGATGAAGTAAGGTCATCAGCTGCTTATGTTCTCTTCTACAGGAGAGTTAAGGTGAAGGATGAATCTCCTAGTGGACGGCAGCTATATGCAAATCCGAAGCCCAACTTATACCGAAGATAGATTTCACTATCAAAATTAAACAAAAACCCATGAATCATCCAATATAATTTACAGATAAGAGTTGTAGCTAGAGAAAGCTCATTGAAGGGCATTAAAAAAGTCAATTTTCCTATCCATGCATGCATGTATTCTCTCCCTGTTTGTCATATACCTGGGGGAATTGAATGTTGTAATCTCATCATTGGGAAGAGCCAACTCAAGATGAAAGTAACGTTAATGTTGCAGTTAAAGCAGCTTGTAGTCGTATTATCTGCAGACATTCATGGAATAAATTTCCATTAATATGGTCAATTAAGTAATGAACAGTCATTTGAAACCATGAG